GGGTGTGGGGGGAATAATCTTCAACAAATGTTGAAGCCCCAAAGCAGACAAATAAAACCCAAAGGGAGCTGAGGAACCCAAGCAGCAGCAATACTTACAATAGTGCTACCTTGAGGGGGATGTAGTGCATTTCCATGGGCGTCCGGATGAGTTCAGCCACATCTGGTGCATATTTATCCAGTTCTATTAGGAGCTTTTGCTTTTTGAACTGAACAAGGGAGAACGAGCAAAGACTGTCAGATGAGGAAAGTCATTATTTCTTATTGCTGGGAATTTCCATTACTGTTGAACATATATGAGCCCCAGGCATGAGCCAAAACTCATGTTATGTGAGGTGTTGTACAAACAGAACAAAAAAACCCCTCTCTTTTCCCAAATACTTAACAACTGAATTGGAAGTCAGGAGAAAGCAGGTAATCTCTACTTCTTTGAACTGCCTTAATCACCTGTGTCTAGCTCTCGACACAGCTGACAGTGAATTCACCACACCAGAGGTTAATACTTTCAATCTTCCTACGGCCTGTCTGCATCTCCAATGAAAAGCTGACTTTATAAATTCACTCTTCAACATACAATCCCCTGAGAAACCAAGTCATGGAAGTATGCAATCTTTGTTATTTTGAAGATGGATACCCCTATGCCAAATCTTCTTTAGGGACCCAAAATCTCTCTCTTTAATCTATCTTGTTCTGTGATGCTCTCTATGGAGACAAAAGAGAAATCTGAATTATGAACCTACTGAATTACATCACGGTGAGACAGAAGGAGAGAGATGCTGGCAATAAATTCTCAATGAGCAACGTGACTCACGCACAGAATTTTTACACATCTGCAGTTCTGTGAGTAATTTCTTCAATCTCAAAGTCAGAGGACAAGGAACAAGCACGTAGTTGGATGGGAGACCACACAGATGCTGTAGAAAATGCAGCCTCCCTGTTCATGTTGGTACTGAATCGCTCTCCCTCTAGGATCGCAGAGAGCACAGCACTGCTTACACAAAATGTTCTTTGAGCTACTTATAAGAGAGAGCTGGGAGGAATCACTCACCTCCAAATACACATACTTGTAATTTGAAGAGACAAGTAATAATTGGTGTCAGACTTTCACCTTGCTCACTAGAATGATTTGTCACCTCAACATCCTTGGGAGGTTTTATGCCTTCCTTTACACATTTCCAGTCTGTGTATTAACTCATGCTGTTTGCAAACACAAACCCTGTTAAAGGTAAAACATTCCAGGCTCTAGCTACAAAACGTAGAGAAGATTGTAGCAGGAGCAGAGGTGAGAAAAGGCAGTGCTCAAGTCTTGCCACACCCATAGTCCAGCAACTAAATTCTGCATACTGCAAACTGCCACAACAACCGAGGGTGGGTTTTCAGTGCACGTTCTAAAATCTCCCATCGCTTCTTGTGTACTGTGACCCAAGACTTGTCGGCATTTCATTGGCATTCTCATAAATGTCGCAAATTCTTTATATTCCTTTCAGATCAAAGAATCTACACTGCTGTGACCATCATTCAAGTGCAGTGTGGTAGCTACAGACACTGATTTGTTTCATACTGTAATACTGCCATGACAAAACTTAAACTACCTCAGTTGTTTACCAGTCAGTCCCCATGTTTATTGATCAGCCAGATATAATCAGATTTACTGCAACAAGGACCGGTTGATACTGCATCCTCTGGCATGTATTCTCTTTGCTACAAGATAATTACACTTGCTGGGAGAAGAGGATCAGCAAACAAGTCAGCTTACCACAACTTTGTTGAAGTCCTGGATGGCCAGGTAAAGGGCAACAGCAGTTAGCACATCAGTGATCTAAAAAAGCAAGGCATAGACAGACTGACTGTAAGCAAAACAAACAAATGGAGAAAAAGATATTGGACAGTGCTGCCACGCTGAATAAGGACTCTGATCTGACTCAGCTCACGAGAAGAAAAAACAACTCTAAGCACACTAGATTGCTGATTTGCACACTGTGCTTGCACACCACAGCTCAACCTTGAAGCCGTGAGCTGTGTCAAAGATATTAATGTTTACAAAACAAGAGAACGGGGAATTACAGGTAAAGAAATTGTTCATGGAAAGAAGTATGCGAGGGTAACAGAGAGAATTGCTGGTCTAATTAGAGCCCAGGCTACACTGGGGCACCTGTCCATTAATTCAGTACGACAGCGCCTTGAGCTGTCCCGAACTTTCAGGCAGCAGTACAGCCACCTGAACACGCAGCACAACGCAGATGGCCGTTAGCTCTGCATGAGACCTGCCCAGCAGGGATCTGGGGAGACAGGCTCCACCACGTGGCATGTGCAGCCAGCTATATGATTTCTGTCCTCCCGAATTACGCAGAACTCGGAGAATAGTTTACACCAAGAGACATTTGGAGGACTAACCCGTTTGTGGTCTTTTTGCAGACCTGAGGTTTGGCAGTGGGTTTTAATGAGAAACACAGCAGTGCAGGGGTTAGGCTCGGGGGATAAAATATTCTGACCTGTAAGGGAACCTTTGACATCTGAAACCAAATGCCAACTTCCCCTCCCTCTGCAGGGATGCTCATCTAACCAAGAACTCACAAAAAAGAAGGAACATGTACAACGAGGGGAAAGCCCGAACGTGGGTTTGTACAGGCAAAGCTGCCTTTCTAATT